CTGTGCACTTGGCCGTCATCACTCGGCTAAGCATAAAGTGCTGACCATTTCTGCAGAGCGGAGTGGGGGATTGTCATGGCGACCGATGACTGTAGAGTACGGGAACCCTGCGTTTCATCAACCGTGAGGTCAGATCTTTAACTTGGATGAAGTCATCTACCATAGGATATAGGATGGACGAGGAGGATCATTGGATCCGCACCACGACATCATCATCATCATCATCATCATCATCATCATCATCAACGATAGTCCATCGATAGTCATCGCCGTCCATCTCCCAAACTCCCGCACGAGATATGCCTGCCCAACAGCCCATAACTGGGCCTCACCACCACAGGGCCTCACCACCACATGCGATAAGAGTGATCATATCCACGAGGCGTTACAGAATGACTTTGGGCGACGAGTCCGTGGCTTGAATAGTGTCGTCGTCAACATGGATGATCTGGCACTCGTATGTCCATGCCGTGACCAATACACGCCGAGTATAGAGAACAATATAGCAAATCAATCCACCATGTCAGCCTCCAGCGATTCGCCCTTGACCATGCCCCTACAACATTCCACAGATAGTGTACAGTAAGGTGTTCGACCAAACTACCGCCTACCACCACGACGGTTCATTCGTATTCCGCACATCTTCTTCTCCCGCGCCGCACTCGCGCGTAGTGGATGTTCGGAGTCGCGCCGCAATTAACTCTTCTTCTCATCTATTTCAACCCCATGATGACTCCTACATGTGAAACCGCAGCTGCAAAGCGGTCAGGTTGGTGGGTTGGGGTCCGGTATGGTCAATGACTACGCAGCGTCAAGCATGTTGTACACAGCATCTGCGAAAAAAAAAAAACGATTACAATTCAGCGAGTGCGAGTAGCTAGCCAAACATGCTAAGCACCTACTAACTTTGGGTATGAGGGTGTTGTGATCCAGCGGATGTCCTCCGGGCCGTTGTGATCCGTTTAGATGTGCATCCCATGGTACCGAACTAGGTCGTTGGATTGTCACCGATGATTATGCGTACCGAAGCGCCGAGTCTGGATTTTGAATTCGAAAAGCGCCGGCGCGTGGTTAGAGCCCGTTTGGAACGGTGCGGACACGGATTTTGCGTGATTTGGATGTGGAGAAACAACAGCCCTGGAGAATACACAGCACGCGAGAAGTCAACGGTTGCAGTCTACGGTACGCTAACCAAGGCAATTATTCATTCACGCTTGTCAGGTGACGATAATGACTTGACTTCGGACTCAGTAGGATGGATTTTGCGAGATCAGGTTAGTCAGTCATTGATGGACGGTTTTGGTATCAGACTCGCGCATCACGGCATGAAGTCCGTCCGTTCGGATTTCAAGATGTCCTTGTGAGGAACGAAAACTGGACATTTGTGCGTTTTGTTTCGTTTCGTTTCGTTTCGAACCTCAAGTCCATTAATCGGTCAATCAATCAATCAATCAATCAATTCGCGGCGTGGGCGCTATAGCTTTCGAGTCCAACCAACAATTCCATGGTTACACAGCGGTTACTATTGCAGGCACAGCTTATTGTTACAGAGGAATTCCAACATCGGTGGTTTTGATTCAATTAGTTTCGTTTCAAAATCCAGGCGCTTTCCTCTTCCTCAGAATTAATCAGGCACCCACTGCACCTGAAGGAACCTTCAATCTAATGGTTACGCAGGGCGGTTGTTTGGTCGTCGGAACCTACGGAGCTGTTTCGTTTGCGCAAGGCTGACGCTTCGGAGAGTATACCGCGCAACGCCCAAAGAACGGCGCTTGCTGTTCATTTCCAAATCTGCGAAATTTTGTTCCTCTTCGTGTTTTGGAACGGAAGACGAGGAACTGGCACACGAGTGGTTGATGGTTGATGGTTGAGCCTAAGCGCCGAACCATAGAACGCAACGGAAACGCAGATGTTGGATGGGTTGGTTGGTGCTTTCGTTGAGTGGTTCAGATTAGGTTACCGGGGCCGGAAGAGAACCGAGGAAGGATCTTGGGATTAGCGATGAGCCGAGCTTTGTTCTTTTTGTGAATCGGGATGGATTACGGCGTAGACCGTGGGTACGCAATCAATAGGGAGGATCTAGCTAGGCTGGGCTAGATGGATGAGTAACAAAAGTCAGTAGAGGCACTGGAAACAGGACGCGAGACACGAGACACGATGGAAGAGAGACTAATTCGGACGCAGGAAGAGAAGATGCATCTATCGATGGCTTTTTGCGGCGAAGAAACAGGCTTGTTCGCTTCGTCTTCGGCGTCGTGAGTTGATCGGTCGGTCGGTCAGCGAAACCAAAGGCTTTCATGCATGTCAGCATTACGATGACGACGACTACGACTACGACTACGACTTCGACTACGACTACGGCCCGTGGGGAAACATGAGGCTGAAGCTCAGTCGACGAGGCTGAAGATGAGGCTGAGGCAAAGTGTCTCTCGTGTTGGTCTTTGTTTCACGCGAATGCGAATCTGAGCTTTGTTTCTGTCTTCCCAGTTTCCGTGCGGCGGCACGGCACAGTCACGGATGAGATACTTGAGCATGTGACGTAGGAAAAAAAAAAAAGTACCTAGGTAGGTAGGGTAGGGTTGAATTGAGTTGAGTTGGTGTAGAAGGTTCCCCTGTCGCTTCATTTCGTTTCCTTCTACGCCTCATCATCATTATGGAATTACTGGGAATCGAGACACGTGGGACGGGATATGTGATGTTTGGTGGGCCTAGGGGGTGACGGTTACGGATCATGGCATAGCGTAGTGTAGTGTAGCGTGCACATGGGGCTTATCTTCAAGGTCACCTCTTGCGTGAGGGAAGGGAAGGGGAAGGGAAGGGGAAGGGAAGGGATGGAGGATTTGAGGATTTAGGCTTGCGGCGAAGCGGATTTGGGATGGGGATCCTTGGTGTGTGTCTGTGTCTGTGTCTGTGTGGGTGGGTGGAAGGGTAGGGTTTGTAGACTTCTTTTGGGGGGGGGAATCCGGCTTTAGGGAAGAGAAATGAAAAAAAAACGGCTTTGAGAATTTCTGGAATGGGGGATGGGGGTTGGAAAATATCATTTGGTAAGCTTATTGGGGGGAATGTGAGGTGAGGTGAGGATGGATGGTGAGGTTGGTTTTCGGGATGGAATGGATTGGGATTATGTTTTTCTGCTTTTGGGAATTGATGGTGTACTTTTTTGGGTTTCTGTTTCTGGATTCTGATTCTGTTTTCATGTTTGGGGGTTTGATGATGATGATGATGTGATGGTCATCGGTAGGTCTGTCTGTAAGAAGTCTTGAATCCCACACTATGCCATGCCATGTATCTGCCCGAATTCCGTATTCCTTCGCAGGATTCATGTTTCCTCTCCTCTCCTCTCCTCTCCTCTCCGTCTTGTGTTTCCATTTTCGTTTTGTGTGGGGGTTACGATGAGGATGATGATGATGATGGTGTTAACCGCTGGGATCCAGCCATGGATGAGATGAGTGACGCGGGTCGCGAAAGCGGTCGCATGGTTTGGAAGCGTTGGTGGGTTCGTGGCTTGGGAAGGGGGAAGGGGGGAAAACGTGTGTACGGAAATAGATTTCTTGTGGGTGGGAGGGTGCGTAGGTTTTTTGGGGTTGGGGTTGGAGGGGGGTAAGGTTTTGGTGGTGGAGGAGGAGGAGGGAGGGAGTGAAAGTTGTTTTCTGTGATGGGATCAGGGAGCGAGGAGAGAATGGGGGTTTTAGGGGTACCGAGGGTTTTGAGAATCTTGTCTGATATCTTATCTATCGAAGGAGTCGTGGGAGTCGTGATTGGATTTGTGGGTTTGGGCTGTCGTCGTCATCTGTCGATCGGGTATGTGTGTAGAGAAAGTTACCATGGTCCCTTTCGTTGGTCGAGTGTCTATCCTTAGAAGCGCGAGATTCACATGTGATCGAGACGCTGGGTTCGATATCGCGATCCCGCGGTTCGATGGATGGATGGTTTACGGGTGTATCAAGAGTTCGATACGATCTTGTAGGGGCATACTCGCTTCATCTTTGCAGACGTATGGAGACTCTGATCGGAGCATCCTCGACCACTTCTGTCCTTTCGCTATGCCCTACTTCATGCGATCAACCTGAAGATCGAGAATGCAAGGCTCTTCGGATCGAGACATGAACGTTGCGACCTGTTCGTGTGACGTCGCTACTGGCGAAACAGTGCAAGGAGAGCATCTATACATCGATCTGAAGTTATTCCCCGCGTGTCGGAGGACATGTCCTAGATGTGTTAGTGGTCGCGACGCTTCAGGGAGACGTGGTTCGTCGCATTAAGTGGGCGGACGTTGGAGATGGGGGAGGTCTTTCTCGATTTAGTGTGGGGTTTGGGACGTTTCGAAGATTTGATATCGCTGATACGACATGAATTGATATCGTTGATATGGCATGAACAGGTCGATTTTAGATATTGGTATCGCGGAAGTTGGGGCTTTTCGCGTTTTGCTATTTGCCATTCGATTGACTGTCGATGTGATGCGTTGATTTGGAAGTTCCACGGTTTCGGAATTCATCTTTGAATGGGTGTATCTTTTTCTACGTGCTTTGTTCTGCATTGGAGATTGATTCGGAGTGGAATCTTGAAGTTGGTTAATTTAATTTGATTTTTTGTGTGGTTTGTCTACGTTGCAATGTTGAAATACAAATGGTGTAGGAGCGGATGGAGTCAAAACACCAGATGTACCGGAGTTGCCGTATCAGAGACAATACTCAAGTTGTGAGAGCGTAGAAATTGAAAGGCAAGGTTGATGAGGTGTGAGCATATTGATAATTGGATGTTGTTGAGGCCGTTCGTATCTGGTGTTGAGGGCATTGCCAGATTTTGTGACCGAAGTAATGCCGTACGTATACCCCCGAAAGTGCTTACGCGGCTGGAGGAAGGGGTGGGGCAATCTATAGATACGACTAGTGCCTCAAATGAAGATAGGGAAAGATTGAGGCCCCGTTATGGCTTGTTACCCGTCTCTACCTGCTACTTCTACTATTTTACCGTGAAAAATCTACAAGAACATCCTGGACAACGTGCCAGAGTGGTTAATGGGTATGACTCGAAAGCCGTTGATTCGCTCAACGGACATATAGATATCATATGGCTTCGGCCGCACAGGTTCGAATCCTGTCGTTGTCGCTCTGTTCTTTTTTTGCCTTTTTGCATTTCTAGAAACTCAGATGAGTGAATGACATAATAATACTCGATTTTTTTTAGATATTCCAGGAAAACACCTCTGGATTCTAAAAATCTAAAATCTACCATGAATCAAACAGTCCCTATCGATCAATGAATTTACTTTCACTCGATTGTAGGAATCCAGTCGTGGTACGATGCTGTTGTGCCTCGGGATTGCCTGACTAAGCATGACTGACGTACATGCCGGCGAGTCTTCTGATCCCAAACCATCCATAACACACCGATTCGCGCTCGCGGGACGTACTCATAATCATAATATTGTCTTGCCATCTTCGGAAGATGCGATTGCTCATTTACTAAGCATAGATCTTGTCAATTGACTAACTACGACAGCTTTCCTTTCAGCGGGCTCGACATTCATGTCATAACTAACGAGCACATCCATCAGACTTCAATTTGACCCGCGAACATGTCTTCACCGCAGCCAGACACTGTGCAATCGGATTCGTCCCGTGTTCTTGACCGCAACAGGAACTTCCTCCCCTCCCATCGTCCGCTGCGACATCACCCTGTCCTCCGTATCGATCACGACCGCGTTTCCGGACCGTTCTCCTTTCTGAACCCCACCCGAGCACACTTCAGACCGGTGAGGGAGTCAATTCAAGGGGCGGAAACTGGTTCAAAAGTGTCAGAACCACCCGCGGTTACATACAAATGGACCTCGCGTAATAATCGTAAAGGTCGCCATGCGTTGGCTGTTGAATCCGTTGGACCTACACCAGAAACGAAACACGTAATCCCGGCCAAGACTATATCTCCAAGACAGATAGCTCTAGGACTCTGGAAAATGGTCTCGAAGTATCCGGTATGGGACATCTCGTACGATGTAGCGACAATTTTCACGTTTGGAAGCGTCATATGGGTCATCAACGCGTTCTTTGTCTGGTTGCCGCTGGTTAGACCAGACACAGAGTTCAAGAACGAGGAGCTGTATGGTGGGGGCATTACTGCCTTTATTGGTGCTACAATATTCGAAATCGGGTCGTTCCTCTTGATGGCAGAAGCGGTGAATGAGAACAGGACAGGATGCTTTGGCTGGGCACTCGAGCGTGCATTTTCAGAGGACCGAGAGACTGGCTCGCAAGTAGTTCGGATTTGCCCCTCGAAATCGACCTGCACACATCATCACTCGAATAAACGCAATTTCGTCGGGAAGGGTAACGCAGGACGATCATCTCCTGCATCCACAGCAGACGAGGACGGCAAAAGCTGGATATGGTTTCCTTCAAAGACGGAAATACAAACACACTACATTCACGAGCTTGGGTTTCTTGCCTCATTTACCCAATTGATTGCAGCAACCATCTTCTGGATTTCTGGATTCACAGCTCTTCCCGGAATCTACGACAAAATGTCACGCCCCATCACCATAATCTTCTACTGGACTCCCCAGGTCATCGGCGGCACTGGCTTTATGATATCCGGAGCGCTCTTCATGCTCGAAACTCAATCCAAATGGTACAAACCCGCATTCAAGACCCTCGGCTGGTGGATCGGTGCTTGGAATCTGCTCGGCGGTGTTGGATTCACTGTATGTCCGGCTTTTGGGTATGATCAGAGTAGCTGGGCACAGTATCAGGCTTGTCTGAGCACATTCTGGGGCAGTTGGGCGTTTTTGGTTGGAAGCGTGATTCAGTGGTATGAGAGCCTGGCGAAATATCCTGTAGAAGCTGTCGAAGCTCACGAAAAGGTGCGAAATGAGATTGCAGACGATAAATGAAGGAATATTGTCTCGAATCTTAGATCGGCTGTTTCCGACAATCAATCACATACGTCGAACATGGAAGGGCCGGGCTCCCGTGAGAAGATATGTTAGCGCGTGACACCAGTATTTCACTGCTACATACCAAGAACGAGGCGCATCACGTCCTGGGAGTTCGATAACTGTGCTGGAGGCTTCGAATGTCGATCTCTTTTCGGCCTATGGATATTCACTGTTCACTTGCCTACATCAGTTCAGACTTCACGATCTACAGCCATACCAACGCACGCTCAGAATTTGCAAGATATGGGGAGTGAGGAAAATTTCAGGTTCCTTTCAAGTTCCCATCATGTGTAGCATCTGCGATCTTGGAAGTTGGTCTGCTATCGTAGGTATTCTTCGGTTTATGCCTCTACTTCTAACTCGTTGTAGAGATCTTGCGGCATCTGCATCCTCCACAGCAGTGCTCCACGATATTTCGATGAGTCCCCATAGACTAACTGTACGAGATTCTCAACAGTGGGTATATCCACTGCTGTGCGGCTGGATGCACAAGCTTTATCACGTGGTCGTCTTTTCGTTTTGATGCAAATTGAAGCCCGCATACGAAGGAATCAGCAAAGGTACGAGCTCATTCTCGCGAACCACGCCATTCGCCTCCAGAAGACGCCCGATTTTCAGGGTGAACGCTGAATATTCTTCGTTCACTTCATCGGAGGACATTAATAAAGAAAGGCGGTGTTGTGGTGGCCGAACAACTTCACCAACCTCAACATATTACGAAGTGGACCGCATTGCCCACTACACGTGTGAGATGTGCTCCCGCACAACTTTCGAAATTTACGAGCATCCGCGTTCTATCTCTCCTCCACAAATACAATTGTCCTCGACGCTTCAGTTCCACAACAGCACTTCACTCTGAACAACTTGAATAGTCTCTTTAACCCCACCATGTCTACGCCCAGACGAGCGATCCGCACCTGGTCGTTCTCGTCCCCACCTGCACAACCTTCTCCGGCTACCAGCCCGCTCGTATATGAAGCCTTTAGCCTTAACGACTATGATGGACACGTGGACGACTTGAAGGATACTTCCCACGAGCGCTCTGGACAGCAGGCAACCACAAATGATGACGACAAAGCTAGCATATCAGGGGCGGGAAAAATCCAGGAAGACAACCCAGATACACCAAGCGCCTCTAATCTACGCGATCTGAACGATAAAGATGCAGCAAAACAAGCGTGGGATCTAATCATAGCCATTGTTGTTGGTCATTCATCCATCCAGCAATCCTTCTTGGTTGCCCGCCGCCTTTTGATGACCCACAGCACTTTCATGGCAGAGAAGCTTTCAGACCCAAACTCTCCAGAGTCGCTTGCAAAGACTGTTTACTTGTCCGATATGCACCCTTGCATATTCCGAGCATTTTACCGATATATCGTCAGCGGCATATGTCATGTCGACCAGCTCCGTGATTCTCACGTGGTGGGTACTCAAATCCTCGTTTGGGTATGTGGTGGGAAACTCGGATGCAAATCTCTTCAAGATGTGGTCCTACGCCAGCTATACGCAGAATTAGAGCCTGCTGCGAGGAGTTTACGCTCGAATAGAACAGTGTTGACCATCCGCCCAGATGACGTTCAACTTGTCTGCACACATACAGCACCAAACTCTCCGCTGAGGAGGCTACTTTTCGACGCTATTGTCAGTCACTATACGTCTGCGGATTTGATGAACCTTGGCTGGTCCGTACCCCTCAACCGCACGACTTGGCTTGATATGTACCAGAAGTATTCCGATTTTAATGCCATGATCGATCTGACTGTGCAATATACGGCTGCACAGAGGTTCTTTGCCTATGAGAGTCTTGGATGGTATCTTCAACATGTGGACGAGAGTACTCCTGTGAACGAGCTTTACTCTTTGAAGCAGACGAGTGATCTAAAATGGGTATCGATGAAGGAGGCAGAGTGTCAGGAAATGTCAAGATTGAGGGAACAGGCAGAGCAAGAGGAGGTACAAATTCGGGACGGGGCCGTCCATCTGATTGAGAATGGTTTAACTACACTGGAACAAGGCTTCGGCGATGACACAGGCTGCAGGGCTGATACTCCAATGCCGAATATCGATTCTGATCATTCGTTTACGGTGGAGGCGCCTATGCCAAACAAGAGCCTTGATTCCTTATATATGGGCGAGACCGACCCTATTCCTTTCATGTCAGGCGATAATCTCGGCCATTCAGGTGTGGCGGAAACCGACATTCCCATGGAGGACAAACTCGATCACAGTGCCAATTCAGGTGTGGCTGAAGCGACGAATCCACCAACGGAGAACCAAGATGATTTTCTGGCTTGAGCAGGCCATTTGATTTGTTCAGGCCGCACACCAATCTCTTCTCAACACATGGCGCGGTTATTGCATTCCAGACATTGATTATTCTTGCGGGCGAATATCCAATTGTAATCCAACCGCTGTAAGGCCTTGATCTCTTCGCCAACGAAACTCAATACAAGTTAAATGATTACGCACGAGTTGACATGCTTCGTCTTTTTCGTTTCGTTTGACGTCCCGATGCTCTCTGTCTTGCCAAATTTCTCAATGCTCAATCTAGTACATAATTCCAGTGGTACGAGAACAGAGGCTCAGTCTAGACTGCGGCACAGCTTCGTGGTTCTGAGAATCACGAATGCACGATCAAAACAATCTTATCGACATTGCCGTCCTTGTTTCAGCATCTCCTCATCGCATTGTGGTGGTCCTTAGCACCGCCGAATTCCACAGACTAAACCGTTTCAGGCCCCTAATCCGCGACGATCATACATCAAGCCCCAGAGTTTCCACTCTCCCACCCGCCGTCAATACTATTTGCAGCTAGCGTGTTTAATTTTATTACCATTCAGTCTCCTCCTCCGCCGTCCGTTGTTTTGTCTAGATCTGTGGCACTGTTTCGTTTCCATAGGGGCGTCAACCGTGCTGTTCCGGGATGCCGTTCACAGGTATATACACATCCTCCATCTCGCTCTCTACGCTGATCCTCACCACATTCCATTCCTTGTGCCATTCATTCGTTTTCGTGGTTAATCCACTTACATTCGTTTCTTCATCCAAAATCTATCTTTCTCTTTCAACTGCACAGGATGCCTTCCACTCTCTTCACCGCGCTGTTGACCAGCGGTTTCGTAGCGCAGGTCGCGCATGCCTACACCCAAGTCAACGTTGCCTCTCCTTTCATGTA